ATGGAGCCTTAATTTTGGCTGGTGCAGGCAGTTCACCTACACAGGGCACCAAGTCAAGGGGGTGCAAAACACAAGGGGGTGTAGCGCACTTGAAAGCATGCACAGAATGGCAGGCTAGAGGAGGGGGAGGGCACCAGATTTGGTCCTTGCTCAGGGCACTGTATGACCCAAGTCCATCCCTGACCTTAATATATTCCAATAGGCTTAAAGGTAAAGGGTAAAGGGAACCCTGACCATTAGGTCCAGTCGTGGCCAACTCTGGGGTTGCGGCTCATCTCGCTTTACTGGCCGAGAGAGCTGGTGTACAGCTTCCGGGTCATGTGGCCAGCATGACTAAGCCGCTTCTGGGCTTAGTGCAGTGCACAGAAACGCTGTTTACCTTCCCGCCAGAGTGGTATCTATTTAACTACTTGCACTTTGATATGCTTTCGAACTGCTAGGTTGCCAGGAGCAGGGACCGAGCAACGGGAGCTCTCCCCGTCGCGGCGATTCAAACCACCGACCTTCTGATCGGCAAGTCCTAGGCTCTGTGGTTTAACCCACAGTGCCACCCACGTTCCTCCAATAGGCTGAAACATGCCTACTTCAGCACATTATCAGACCATGTCACCTATAAAGGTGACTTTAGGATCAGTTTGTTGGCATGTAAAATGGGCATACAAATGGCTTCCCTCAGAGGCTTGTTGCAAAGATGCATGATGCACAGATTGTATAATGCCCTTGACAAAACCGAGAGTGCTATAGAAAAGAGTTGTGGTGGTGATGCTTGGGATAGTTGGTTGGTCTGAAATTTTATGACCGGCTCTGGGATTCCTCTTGCAATGAAGAGCTGGTAATAAATATTTAAAATAAGAAATACAATTAGACAGCATGCACACCTGTCTGTACACACACACACACACACACACACACACACACACAATATAGGTTGTATTCTGAAATGTTTATATCTGCCCTGGGGCTGAAGGGCTGTAGCTCAGTGATAAAAAACATCCAGGACGTGTCAAAAGTCCCAGGTTCAATCCTTGGTCTCTCCAGGTAGGACAGACTGCTCCTAACTAAAAACCTGGAGATCTGCTACCAGCCAGTGTTTATAATATTGGGCTAGATGATCTGATGAGGGTATATGCTAGCTTTCTATTCTTCTGAGATACGTTTCTTCTTCCTCCAATCTGAGAGCTGTTAAACAAATGGAAAATGCCTTCTGCATGAATTCTGCCGTGTTCAGACTTGCATTCCCGGAGACTTGCAACCCTCCTCCCCAATCAGAGGCTGATTCAAGTGTGTGAAAGGGGAACTTCGACTGCCCAATATTCCACCCAGCCTTGGTTCATTCTGTGCTGGAGTGCCCACTGCAGTTATAAAACAGCATGAAGCAAACTTTGCCCAGAGTTTCACAGAAAAGGGTGTACAAAGAAGACTCCGGATGAAGAATTGTGAAGGGGGGAAGGTTATATTTATTAAATATAGAAGCCTAGAGGATATGCAAACCGAAGTAAAACTAGATAAACCATAATATTATCTGGGCAGGAAAGCTCCCTAAACCAGCAGGAACCTTGTTACTCTCTACTTCTTGGCTCCACAGAAAAGGATTAGGAGGAATTCTTTCTCGTTGCTCCAATTATTATTATTATTATTATTATTATTATTATTATTATTATTATTATTATTTATCATCATCATCATTTATACCCCATCCACTCTGGGCGACTCCCAACAAAATATTAAAAATACAATAAAACATGAGTCATTAAAAACTTCCCTAAACAGGGCTGCCTTCAGACGTCTTCTAAAAGTCAGATAGTTGTTTATTTCCTTGACATCTGATGGGAGGGCGTTCCACAGGGCGGGTGCCACTACTGAGAAGGTCCTCTGCCTGGTTCCCTGTAACCTCACTTCTCACAATGAGGGGACCACCAAAAGACCCTCGGCGCTGGACCTCAGTGTCTGTGCTGAATGATGGGGGTAGAGATGCTCCTTTGGGTATACTGGGCCGATGCCATTTAGGCTTGAAAGATCAGCACCAACACTTTGAATTGTGCTCGGAAACGTACTGGGAGCCAATGTAGGTCTTTCAAGACCAGTGTTATGTGGTCTCGGCGGCCGCTCCCAGTCACAAGTCTAGCTGCCGCATTCTGGATTAGTTGTAGTTTCTGGGTCACCTTCAAAGGTAGCCCCACGTAGAGCGCATTGCAGTAGTCCAAGCGGGAGATAACCAGAGCATGCACCACTCTGGTGAGGCAGTCCGCGGGCAGGTAGGGTCTCAGCCTGCGTAGCAGATGGAGCTGATAAACAGCTGCCATGGACACAGAACTGACCTGCGCCTCCATGGACAGCTATGAGTCCAAAATGACTCCCAGGCTGTGCACCTGGTCCTTCAGGGGCACAGTTACCCCATTCAGGACCAGGGAGTCCTCCACACCCACCCGCCCCCTATCCCCCAGAAACAGTACTTATGTCTTGTTCAGTACTTATGTCAATCTGTTAGCCGCCATCCATCCTCCAACCTCGGGTATGTAAGTTGGCAAGTGCACAGTGGCCCCACCAGCTCATCATTCAACCCAGTGTTCATGCCAGGCATAAAGGGAACCCCAATGATCCCAGTGCCCTTTACTCAGTTCTTTACTCCATCTATTGACTTGCTATTCCTTCCCGGACTAATAGCTAATGAAACCCAACGAAACCCAGTGCCGCTGCAGACACAAAAGCCCTGACAATTCGAAGTAGGTGAAAATGAGGGGTTCCAAGGCCACTTAGGGGTTCCCCCTAAAAATATTCTACTCACCTCACAATTGGGCAGCTAGTCAAGGCCCATGCAGCATAGAGGGGCAGGGACTCAGAAGATTGTGGGTTGCTTAAAAACCTGCCCCCCTCTTCTTCAAAAATTGGTCCACACTGAGAGGTGGAACAGTCACAACTCCTCCCCAGGATGATACCACCTGAGTCTTCTTTCCCAAGGGGAAAGGTGGGTGGCGATTTCATGCCCACTCAAGAGTGGGAGCTGCATTTTTAGAGGTCTGTCAAATGTCAGCTTCCCATGTGTCTGTGGAAGCCTCTTAAATGTTTTGAGACCCATTTGCAGCTGCAGCGCTCTCCGAGACTTATCAAAGAGCGTAGCCCAAACCAGAAATGCCCCCTTTTCTATTAATGTGCATTTCCGTCATTCATAAGTTATGCTGATTCAGCTCCAAATCCAACCACACCAGCTATCCAGAAGAAAACACTTCCAGCTGATGCCTCTCATACCGCCTTGTAAGTCCATCCTGCTATCCTGCCATTTCTCTGCCTCACCATCCTTTACCTTTCCCTATCTGATCTCCAGGAAACTGATAAGGTTAGGGCAGGGAGAGTGAATATTGGAGTGAATGGGGACTCTGCAGCATTTGGGACGTTTTAGCTTAGAGAAAGGTGAGAGGTGACTCACATCACTTATAATATGATGCATGGCGTGGAGGAAGAGGGAAAAGTTTTCCCTCCTCTCTCATACCCCTGAAATTCAATGAAGCTGAATGTTAGGAGATTTGGGACAGATATCTCCACTGCCAGAGACAGCAATGCTTCTGAATACTAATTGCTGGAAACCACGGAGGACGGGCGAGAATGGTTTTGTGTTCCGATTCTGCTGTTTCCCAGAGGCATCTGGCTGGCCACTGTGAGAACAGGATACTGAACTAGGTGGGCCATTGGCTTGATCCAGCGGGCTCTCCTTACGGTCTTATTTGCAGGAAATGTGAACTGGTGAAACTAACCCCACCGCCATTCTGTAAAAGAGAGCAGAAGTTAACATCTGTGTGTGGCCCTTTGCAAATGTCTGCAAGTCTGTGCAAGTTTGCATTTGCTAGTGTCTACAAGTCCAGTTAATAATAATAATAATAATAATAATAATTTATACCCCGCCCATCTGACTGAGTTTCCCCAGCCACTCTGGGCGGCTCCCAATCAAGTGTTAAAAACAATACAGCATTAAATATTAAAAACTTCCCTAAACAGGGCTGCCTCCAGATGTCTTTTAAAGATAAGATAGCAGTTTATTTCCTTCACATCTGAAGGGAGGGCGTTCCACAGGGCGGGCACCACTACCGAGAAGGCCCTCTGCCTGGTTCCCTGTAACCTCACTTCTCGCAATGAGGGAACCGCCAGAAGGCCCTCGGCGCTGGATCTCAGTGTCCGGGCTGAACAATGGGGGTGGAGACACTCCTTTAGGTATACTGGGCCGAGGCCGTTTAGGGCTTTAAAGGTCAGCATCAACACTTTGAATTGTGCTCGGAAACGTGCTGAGAGCCAATGACGGAATCACAGGAGGGAAGAGGGTTCTTGCACTCAGGTTCTGCATGAGGGTTTCTCGCAGGCATCTGGGAGGCCACTGTGAGAAGAGGATGCTGGACTAGAAGGGAGAATGGCCTGATCCAGCAACCTAAAAACTGTGCGTGAAGAAACACAAGCAACTGACATACAGTACTGCAAGCTCTGGTCTATCCACCTCTAAACTAACTGGCAGAGATTCTCTAAGGTTTCAGACCCAGGTTTCACCCTCAGCGTTGAACCGTCAGCTTTTGCAGATAGCAGAGGCTCAGTCCCTGATATCTCCAGGCACAACAGCCGGAGAATGCCCCCTGGCTGAAACCCAGAAGGGCAGCTGCCAGTCAAGGTAAGCAATGCTGAGCGAGGTGCTCCAAAGGTGAAACTTGGGATAAAGCGTCTCCCTCCATCTGCAGCTTCACGGGTCTCCTCGACTCCCGCGCCGTGCGCTCTCAGGCACCGGCCGGCCCGCGCTCTTCCCTCCAGCTTGCTCCTGGCGCAGCTCAGCTGTGCGCCCCTGCTCCGGAGCGCCGGTGCCCGCGCTCCCGTCGGAGCGCAGCCAAAAGTGCTTCCCGCCTCGCCAGAGCGTCGAAGGGACTCCTGGATGTCTCTGGCTGGAGAGGTGGAGCGTGGCCAAGAGGGGCGGACTCCCGAGCGGTGGCTTTATTAGCGCGCCCAGCAGGTTACAATGAGAGGAGCTGGCGAAAGAGGAGGCTGTGCGCTCTCGCCCTTTCCCGGCCGCCTAGGAAGAGACCCCGCGCAGCGGGAGAGGGGAAGGAAGGAAGGAAGGAAGGAAGGGGATCTTCAAAGAGGGCTGGTCCGTGCCTTCAGGCAGGAGTCGCCCACCCTTCTCCCCCGCCTCCTCCGCCCTCCTTGGCTTTCTCCGCCCCTCGCCACGGCTCTGCCTCTCCTCCTCCTGCGCGGCGAAGGAGCTGCTTTGCAAGAGAGCGCAGGCTGCCAGCCGGGACGGGAGCGCGCGCGCTGCGGGCTGTGCAAAGCGCCAAAGAGGACCATCAGGGAATTCTCCCTCCGGCTCCTTGAAATAAATACATTAAAATTGCCCGTTTCTTTTTTTCCATTCAGAAGTGCAATTTTTCATTCCGCACCCCACCCCGCAACATTTAACTTACATTTATTTATTTTATTTTATTTTTAAAAAGTGCATATATAGGCTGTCCTATATCCATCATCCACCATCCATCCTTTTTTTTTTTCCCATTCGAGAAACTCACTTCGGGATGATTCTCCTGTCATTGTGCTTCACAGCAGCGGCTCTGGTGCAGTTGAAGACTTCAGCTGACGAACAAGTAAGTCCATGAATATCCCGAGGAGCCTGCGGAACAACGCACATCCCTTCTACCACCACCTCCATCTACTACTAATTACTATCATTTATTTATTACTTTATTTATTACTTGATTGATTGAAGGTGATGGTGGGAAGACTTTGTTGTTCCTTTCCAAACTCCGTTCTTCCTGGTGGCTTTTTATAAACCCACTTTCTTCAGCCACCTCCCCCCCGCCTTCAAAAAAAGAAAAGAAAAAGAAAAACGTTTTGATTGTATGATGATATCCCTGGCTCCTGCACGGAATTACTGCTTGGCAAAGCAGCCCAGAATTGCCTTAAGGTTCTAATTTGTAGCGTAATAGAAGAACTTTGTTTGTTTCCAACTTTCTCTTCTGCTAACACGGCTTTCTCTCTCTTTTCTTTTCCGTGTGTGTGAGTGTGTGTGTGTAACGGATTGGCTTGTGAGTATTAAATTGCAAGATTCTTAGCAGCTCTTCCTTAGCAGCCCAAGATGAAGAGGCTGCTGTGCAGATTAACTGCTGTCCTCTAGCCTGGGGGACTGAGTCAGCGGGTGATGGGGATGGGATGTTCTTATTCGTTTCTCTGGGGCGAGCGTGTGCGTGTGAAAGCGTTCATTCCGTGTGCAATTCCGCAGGTGGGAGGGGGGGCTTCTCTTACACGAGCCCCTCCGTGGCTCCCGTTCTCTTCACTGTGGCTTGCGCAAGAGAACTCCCCCACTGAATACTTTCCCTCTGTTAGGGAGTTATGATGCCTTTGGGATCCGTCAAGTAGAGACCAAGGCTGAAGATCTTTTAGCCTGGCAGCACCTGCCCTTCGGAACTCCCTGCCTATTGACAGAAGACAGAATCCCTCTCTGTACTCTTTTCAGCTCCTGTTTAAAACGCTTTTGCTTAGGCAAGCCTACCCGGACACGTGGAAGCTGAGGTTAAAACACAAGCCCTTTTAGTCTATTGTTGGTTTTAATTATATTTCTGGATGTTTTAATACCTGTTTTTAACACTCTTTCACTGGCAATTTTCTAACTGCTTAGATTTTTTTTTTTCCTTTTTGCAATCAAGTGGCATATACAGTTCATTCAAACAAATAAATAGCAGATTACCAAAGGTCTGGGACCCAATTTAGGCAGGGATCCTAAGTTCACGTACCTGAGAGTCATCCCCATTGAATTCAATAGGACTGCGTAGTCATGGTTTGGCGTGCAATGTTGGTTGTGCTTAGAGTAGCCCAGCTGAAATCCATGAGACTGCTTATCTTAAAAAAAAATTAAAAAAAATTGTGCATACACCAGGTTGGATCTCGATGTGCAGTACTCATACTCTGGGTAGACCCATTGAAGCCAATGGAACTTCAGTACTCTAAGTATGACACAGTGGAGATGCACTCCAGTGTTCGCACAAATAATAAAATAATTGATTCCTCGCCCCAGTGTAACAAATCTTGGAGACATTGCCATGGAAGAATGAGGAAATCCCAATGAAATAACAGAGGCAAGAAAAACTGATGAGTTATGCAGAGTTGGCTATTCTGACATATAAATTGTGGGATAAGGACAACTGTGGCTTTAAGAAAGAATGGGAGCTTTTTTCCAAATTATTTAAAAAGACAACAAAATGAACTGGCAGGTTTTGAATAAACATACACAAATTTATTGGTTGATAACATGTTAGATAGATAATGTAAGGATATCTAAAATTTTATAACATGCAGAGAATAATACGTGCTGAGGGGTGGGGGGGGGTGGAAGGGGGGAATAATGTATGTGATTATATGGTTTGATAATTTGTTATGTTGAGATTGCTAATAAAAATATTTTTTTAAACAAAACAAAACTTGGAGACATTGCCCATGGCACAGAGATATACAGACCTGAGCAAACAGGTCATCCCACCTGCCTCAAGGCTGGCACAGAATTTGTTTTTCCCATGAGGGAAATGGTCCAAAGGTGTCATTATTTCTTGGGAGATGTTTGCATCCTTAGCTTACTAGAGCAGCCACCAGAGGTCAGAGAGCATCCTCACTCAAAGGTGAGATGCTCCTGGGCGGCCCAGGTTGGTTCCATTGTAAAACGCATTCAACGCATTCCTCTTCTTTGTGCTTTGGGAAGCATGGATGAACGTTTGCAACCTGACTCTTCATTTCCTCTTCCCATCTTTCATGGAATGGTTTAAAAAAAGCTCATTCAAGTCAAAGGGCTCCTCTTCCCACCCATCTGAGAATCCTTGCAATTTTCTCACAGGCTCTTTTCAGTTACAGCTGATACTTAAGAGCGTCAGAACAGCCCTGCTATATCAGTTCCAAGGTCCATCTAGTTCAGCATCCTATTCTCACAGTCACCAACCAGATCACAGAATCATAGATATGTAGAGCTGGAAGGGATCCCCTCTCCGAAAATGCAACACGGTGTTCCACATCATGTGTGACATCGCACACACTATGTGCTGATGTGTGATATCGCAAGTCCATGTTATGGCAGCAGGCACCCACAATCCTGGGGGCGAGATGTAGGCGCTGCCCCAGACTGTACTTTTGGTGGTCGCTATTATTTTTTTTTTTTTGTGGGCCCACATACATCCCTGAACTTGGGTTTCTTCCGCTGCATGTTGGTTGCTGTGAATGCAAATAGGTATGAGATGCAACAGACTTTCAGATTTGCTATGATAATAAAGTCATCGCTTCCCAGGAACTCATTTCCCTCCCTCCCTTTGTCGTCATCTTTGATCAAATAGGTTTTGCAGGCTTTTTGAAGCACTCTCCGCACCTGCAAAACCTGTTCGCTCAGATATCTAACTGTACTTCCTTTCTCTGCTAGCTCAGTTCCAGGGCTGAAAAAAGAGAGAGACTGCCACTTGTCTTGGTTTCTTTGGCTTTGTGTCCCTGGAGAGTTGTCAGGATTCATGTTTGCTTGTTCCCCCTACACCCTCCATCCCTCAGGAATCGTGGGTTTAATTAGCTCTTAAAGTATTTCTTCAGCCACCAGACTCTAATTTTTTGGCGCAGCACTGCAGCATTACAGAATGGCCCATTCAGAAATCTGGGTTTATTAGCTCAAGCTGTTTATGTGAAACTTATTATTTATGGAGTCTTATTAGTGCACTGGGTGACAGCTGTTTATTCACTTAAGGGCAGCACCGTCCCTGGATGTGGGGCAGTGGGGGGGGGCGTTGCAGAAGGCAGGAGGAGGTAGGACAGTGTAGGATAAGCTGGCTAGACCAACTAGTTTGTCCTTTGCAAACATAGCAACTGCTCTGAAGCATGGATCCTCAGTGGACAAAAATAGTATATTTCTGAATACAAATTGCTAGGGACATTGGTGATTGGGAACTGGTAGGGAAGAAGTCTGGGAGGCCAACAGTAGATGGCGCCAAAGCTGGTGGTTGGTGGAGCAAGAGCCAGGGATGGGAAGAGTCACCTAATTCTGGTCTGGTTCCCACCATCCTTTTTGGTGAGTTCCATGGGTGTGAAACTGAGACTGAGGAAGAGGAAGCTGATGGCCGTCCCCTGGGCTGAGACAGGTGAGGGCTAGCTGAGGACAGACTGAGGCTGGTGGGGAGCAGCCTCCACTGGCTAGGGGTGTAAAACAGGCAATAAGTAGCTCAGTCAGGAGAGCAGGAGACTTTTAATCTCAGGGTTGTGGGTTCGAGTCCCATGTCAGGCAAAAGATTCATGCATTGCAGGGGGTTGGACTAGATGGCCCCTCATGTTCCCTTCTAACTCTAAAATTCTGTGATTCTATCACCTTTTTTTTTTTTTTGCTCCGCTTCATGAGATTTGCTTGGCCCCTGCTGGAATCACAATGCTGATCTAGATGGTCCTTACTTATTCCAGCATCTGAGTGCCCTTGCTTTGTTACTTTTCCAGAAACATACACTGACTATCTTCATCATGATCAGAAGCAAAGTAGCATTCGCATCCTCCCACCCACTCACCCGCAAAAAAAGTTTCCTGGTCCAATTCAAAGTGCTTCTTCTTGCCTAATAAAGCAGGGGTGTGGGATGTGTGTACCTCCAGATCTTGTTGAACTACAACTCCCATCCTCCCTGTCTCGTTAGCTGCGCTGGCTGGGGGGCTAATGGAAGCTGAAGTCCAGCAACAACTAGAGAGGAACACGTTTCCATCCCCTAAGTGGCTTAGGGCTTGGACATCTGAAGGGCTGCTTCCATTGCATCCTACTCTGAGGTTCTTTTGAGGTTCCCACCATCAAAATAGGCTAGACTGGGTGCTCTCGCAAGCGACAGGGCCTTTTCTGTGGCAGCCCCTTCAAGACCCCGATTATGGAACTCCTTTTTTGAAGTTCTATTTATGTATTAGATTTATCTCCTGCCTTTCCTCCAAGGAGACCAAGGTGGTGTACCTGGTTCTCCCCCTTCCTCATTTTATCCTGAGAGGCGGTGATTGGCCCCAGTGAGCCTCTTGGCTGAGTTGGGGGGGGGTTTGAACTCTGGTCCCCAATTAGTCTAACCACACTACACCCTGCTGGTGATTTGATTGTTGGACTATTGATTTGGTTTCGCTGTTTTGCCACTCTTCTCTCATTTAATATCGGTTCAATAATTGTTTTATATGTACACCGCTTGGAGTGCCTGAGTGCCAAAAGTTGATCTGTATGTGCGTATAGTTAATGAATAAAACAAATTATTGTTTATTTTTCCAGGCTGCTAAAGAAGACGTTATTCAAACAGGTAAGACCATTCAGTTGTATCTTGTTTGTAGTTTGTATATAAAATACTACTACTACTACTAACTACTATTGCTACTGCTTTATTATTTATATGCCATCCATCTGACCGAGTTTCCTCAGCCACTCTGGACAGCTTCCAACAAAATATTAAAACACAAACTCAAAATATTAAACACAAGATAGAACTGTTTACCACTAATATGGCTTTATCACCCTGTGAGACCTTTTTCTTAAAATATAAAATAAATAAATTGCCATGTAGTTGATATTCACTCCAGTTGGCAAGTAATAGTGATACATGTTGGAACTGTGTCAGTCTACTATGGATGGATGGATGGATGGAAGGCAGGCGAGAAAATAAGGGGGAAAATCTTATACATCTTCTTCTTCTTCTTCTTCTTCTTCTTCTTCTTCTTCTTCTTCTTCTTCTTCTTCTTCTTCTTCTTTGGTGATCACCCGTAGCCGAGTAAGATTGTCTTCCATAAACACAGTTTTAACAATGAGTCTGTAAGTGACTGTGGAGGCCAATTCTGGATCCACATGTCCTTCCACAGTGGGGACGTAGGTTTCCAGGCGGGAGTTGATCACGGTGTGGGTTTGCCAAGCGTGCCTTCCTCCTAGCACATTTCTCCCTTGTGTCCTGAATTCGAGTGTCTTCAAAGTCCATGACACCTTTGGTAAAGGCTGTTGTGTACAGCTATTAACGAAATGAAAAACAACAAAGCCAATGGACCTGATGGGATAACTGCCGAAATCTTCAAAACGGGCGGAATTGAATTTACACAATAACTTCACAAGCTCATCGAAAAAATCTGGGAAAGAGAAGAAATCCCAGCAGACTTTAGAGATGCCAAAATTATCAATTCTCTTTCAAAAAAAAGGTGACAGAACTGATTGTGGAATATTATACATATACAGGAAATGATTGGCCATCTTATCACAATGAAACCTTTGCAAATTCTCCACCCTTATAGCTCAGCCTGGACACTGAGGTCCAGCTCCGAGGGCCTTCTGGCAGTTCCCTCACTGCGAGAAGTGAAATTACAGGGAACCAGACAGAGGGCCTTCTTGGCAGTGGCACCTACCCTGTGGAACACCTTCCCAGCCGATGTCAAGGAGATAAATAACTATACAACTTTCAGAAGACATCTTTTAGAAACCCTGTATCAGGAAGTTGCTAATGTTTGAGGTTTTTATATGTGTTGGGAGCTGCCCAGAGTGACTGGGGCAACCTCACCAGATGGGTGGGGTATAATAATAATAATAATAATAATAATAATAATAATAATAGGGCAGATACCTGTATTTAAACCTGAATGCTGGGCTGGTCGGCCTTTGGCCTGATCCAGCAATCTCTTCTGATATTCTTATGTAATTATGGGCAGGCGGATTGAGTCCAGTGCCTTGGGGTCCTTCTCCGTCTAGGGAAATGCCCAAAACATGTAGCTCTGGTGGCTCCTGACACAAGGCAGCTGTGCTCAGAGCTGGGGACTCTCACTTCCAGCTTTGGCAGCTGTCAACACTATTGCAAGGCTGTGTGTGGGCAGACGAGCTAACGAAATGCCTATGGACTTGTAACAGAGGCTCTCGTAACCGTTTCTTAATTTCCCTCCATGTGTGAATCTGGCATCTTGTTTTCCTCGTAGCAGGGAAGAAAATGCTCCTGAAATGTCTGTGGATTTTTCAGATTCGTATTCATTCAGCGCTTGCCAACTGGAAACCGTATCGTCTTGGGGCAGTGTGGAGGGGGAGGGGCGAGATGAGTTGCCAAGTCAGCCAGTCCTTGAAAGCGAAATCTCTGGTGCCTTTGACCCCTTAATATGGAGGTTTAAACCTGTTCAGTGGCTCTTCTAGCAGGCGAAAGCTTGCATCCCGAACACTTCAAAAGGCTGCCTCAAAGCTTTTGCGATCTCTTTCTGTGACCTTTCGCTCTGAGCTCTTCTCCAGTTTGACAGCTCAGCTCCTCGTATTCTTAGGTGGCCTCAGAGCAAAAAGGACCAGTTTTCTGAAGCATTATGGCCCTACGACAAGGATGGGCAATTGGCAGAAACACAGTCCAGCTGTCTTAAAAGGGAACTGGACAAAACATAGTCCTTCCTTGGCTGCAAGTCACAACAGCTAAATTTGGGCCATCATATTCAGAGGTTATATGCCATGGATAGGGGTGTTAAATAATTCTGATGCAAACAGGAATGGAAATTGCCATTTTTTTCTCTTTATGGTCCTGTGGCATTTCTCCACATTTGCACAAATTTCTCCTAGCATACACATTTTGGCATGCAATTTCATTTGAAATACACATTTTTAAATACAATGTTCCCAATATAACACATTTCCTTTGTCAGTATTTGCATCCTTACCCATTCTTCCCCATAATGTAGACAATTTTGTGTGTGCTATTTGACTGGCGAGCTGCATCGCAAAATTCAGAGAAGTGCAAATTTGGGAGGAAAGTGAAAATTAAGTAGATTCGCATTCACATTCTAACTGAACCAATTTTCTCCTCCGTTGCTAATCACCCACAACAAATCCCTGTAAACAAATAGGCATATATATTTTTTCCCTTTTCCTGAAAGCACCCATAGTCTGTGGCTTAATGTCAGTGGCATGCGGTGAAATATTTCGTAGAGGCGAAATTAGGGCCAGAGGCACCAGATTGCGAGGGCAATGGCATGGGGGGTGATGTCACACACAAGATGTACTGATGTCCTGATGTTGGGCGCATGAACATCGTGCCTCTTTAAGCTGGGCAGAAGGTTCCTGGGCTTTGGGAAGGAGACACCAGGATAACATTTAGAGGACTAGACTGGTCTCCTTGGTCCACTGACCTAATGTGTGTCCTCCCCTTTGCGAGGCACCTGTCTACACAGGCTCCATCAATGTGACACTCTTACTGCTAAATGGTTGTGGTTTTCTTGAAGCACCGATATGCTCGGCAATACACAAGCAGGGCCATGGTCCCCTGCCCCAAGGAGCTTACAGCATCTGCACCATTAGGGTGATTGGGGCACTACCGCATCGACCTCACTCAGTCCTCACTTCTCTGCCTTCTTATCCACAGTCAGGGAGTGTCTCTGACTGGCCTTGTATCTGCCTTCTCTTCCTGTTGGTCTCTATGCTTCTCGCCCTAGCAATACCAGCCACCACTGGCCTACAGTCATCCAGTGAATGTGATTATGGCACCTTGCCATCTGGGAGGCAGGGATTTGCATGGCAAATGTAGACTTCTAGGCATCCAAACTGAAGAATAATATATATATAGGCTGAATTATGGAGCTACAGCTTTCATGCTCATATATAATTTAAAGCAAAGAGCAATTCTCATGCATCATCCGATGACATATTGCTAACAATAAAAAAAACCCCCACGTATTTTTAGCTTTTGCGGCTAGGGAAGAAACAATCTTGGATGTGTGCAGGGTTGTTTGTGTTGCAAAGCCCTTTTGGCTCAGCCTTCTCGGCTCTCGGCTCTCTCATTCTGCCTGGCATGTGGAGCCGGGAGGTGATAGAATTCTGATAGCACTGACGAGTTTCTGACAAGATCTTGGCTTTCGAACTTCGCGGGATGACACTGGCCAGCTGCCTTTAGGAGGGGCCTTGCGAAGCTTCCTCGATGACTCCCTGTAGGCCGAACCAGACATACTGGGGTGATAAATGAGACCCTTTTAAGTTCTGAATCAACGGGGGAATTTTAAGTGGCCCCTTGGGAGTTGTCATCTCTGGCTGAACAGGGAAATGTACTTCCAGGACTATTAGGCTATTAGATTTCATAGATTTTCTCTCTCTCCCTCTCTCTCTCTCGTCCAATCTAAACATGCTTACATTTTTTAAAATTAATATTTTATTAAGAGAATTTCATATATATAAAGAGTGAGAAAAAATGAAAGAAAGAAAAAGTAATTGGGAAGAAAAAAAATGCCATTACATGTTTAGCGTGTTTACATTAGGAATAAAAAGGTAAAGGTACCCCTGACTCTGGGGTTGCGCGCTCATCTCGCTCTATAGGCCGAGGGAGCTGGCATTTGTCAGCAGACAGCTTCCAGGTCATGAGGCCAGCATGACTACGCCACTTCTGGTGAACCAGAGCAGCGCACGGAAACACCATTTACCTTCCCGCCAGAGTGGTACCTATTTATCTACTTGCACTTTGACGTGCTTTCGAACTGCTAGGTGGGCAGGAGCAGGGACCGAGCAATGGGAGCTCACCCCGTCGTGGGGATTTGAACTGCCGACCTTCTGATCGGCAAGCCCAAGAGGCTCAGTGGTTTAGACCACAGCGCCACCCGTGTCCCTTACATCAGCAGTACATCCTGCTTATTTTATTGGGACTTACTGCCAAGAAAAGGATGCATAGGATAGACTTATGTGTCTGTGCACCACATTGTGCGATTGGTTGTGCAGGGCAGGGCTTCCTTGCCTTTCAATGTTTTATTCAAGTTGGCACCAAGTTGGTAGCCAAAGTGGTGGAACAAGAACTGAAGAAGAGCCTGATGGATCCGGCCAATGGCCCCTCTCATCCAACATCCTGTTCTCACAGTGACCACCCGGATCCCTGTGGGGAACCTGCAAGCAGGACCCAAGGACAAGATCCTTTCCCTTTCTTGCAGTTTCCAGCAACGTTGCTGGCTCCAGCTGTGGAGGTGGAGCAGAGCCATAGGTGATGTTTGTGACCTTTAAAGCCCTCCATGGCCTAGGACCCTCGTACCTATGGGACCGCCTCTCCTGGTATGCCCTGCGGAGGACCTTAAGGTCCATAAATAGCGACACCCTGGAGGAGACTCTTGAGAGTCCCATGGACTGCAAGAAGATCAAACCTATCCATTCTTAAGGAAATCAGCCCTGAGTGTTCACTGGAAGGACAGATCGTGAAGCTGAGGCTCCAGTACTTTGGCCACCTCATGAGAAGAGAAGACTCCCTGGAGAAGACACTGATGCTGGGAAAGATGGAGGGCACAAGGAGAAGGGGGCGACAGAGGACGAGATGGTTGGATAGTGTTTTCGAGGTTACCAGCATGAGTTTGACCAAACTGCGGGAGGTAGTGGAGGACAGAGGTGCCTGGCGTGCTCTGGTCCATGGGGTCACGAAGAGTCGGACACGACTAAACGACTAAACAACAAACAACAAAGAGGTCCCAGGCCCTAAGGAAGTCAGATTAGCCTCAACCAGAGCCAGGGCCTTTTCAGTACTGGCTCCGGCCTGGTGGAACACTCTGCCTCATGAGACCAGGGCCCTGCGGGATCTGATTTCTTTCCACAGGGCCTGTAAGACAGAGTTGTTCTGCCTGGCCTTTGGCTTGGAATCAACTTGACCCCCTTCCCCTCTTTCCTTTCTCCTTCTGTGATGGAAGTCCTATTTGGGGACTTCCCTGGCTTTTTTCTGGCCCATGTAGGACCAGTCTGGATAGTTGGCCTTGGTGAAGATTTGACGTTTTCATCCCCCAAAATTTTTTGATTTGAGTTTCTACTGAAATGAGGCTACATTTTAATGTTGTATTTTAATCTTGTTTTTATGTTGTATTTTAATCAATTGTTTTTATACCTGACATTAGCTGCCCTGAGCCCGGTCTTGGCTGGGGAGGGTGGGGTATAAATAAAACAACTTCTTCTTCTTCTTCTTCTTCTTCTTCTTCTTCTTCTTCTTCTTCTTCTTCTTCTTCTTCTTCTTGCCATCATGGCTAGAACCTCCAATAACTCTCTCTTCTCTATGAATTTGTCCAATCCTCTTTTGTAGCCATCTTAGTTGGTGGCTATCCTGTGGGATGGAGTTCCACAGTCTAACTCTGCAACGACTGTAGAGGTGCTTCATTTTATCTGTCCCGAATCTTTCAGCATCCAGCTTTATTGATGTCCACATGTTCTCGTGTTATGAGAGACCATGAGTTGCAATGAGCTCAAATAATGTGAATGAGATGACACATGCAAGTTAACTCCAGTAAGGTTGATGGGATCGACTTGGGTGGTCCAGCAGACCTGATTTCTTGACTTTTTTTTTTTTTTTTTTTGCTCCCTCTGGGAATTCTGCTAAAAAGTTGTAACACTTAAAAAAAAATGCCTTCCTTTTGCTTAATTATATGTTTTGGAATGCTTCCTTATGAGAATACGATGTGCTTTCTTGAGCAAAACCTTACAACGTAACCGTTTTGCAACTGTAGCAGAAATGAGGCGTCTGAGAAACAAAATCAGGACAATTTTAAAATCCCTTATGCTGCACTCTGGAGTACTTATTTGGCTCTTCCACTGGAATCAATGGCTGCTTCCAAGTTTAAAAACTTGTGCGTAAGCATTTTCACTCTTATCTTCTTCTTCCCCCTTTTTACTGTTATTGGCTATTAGCAGAGCTCCTAATTAGCTAAAGAGGATGTGCTGGGACTGATGTGTGGGAGAGAATGAAGAGAGGGGGAAATACTGTTTTCCACCACCAATGGATGGAATTGCATTTCCATAGGCTGTAGACTCTGGAAAAGGGACAAAGGACGACAGCTGAGAAGCCTGGATGTCTTCAGAGTTTAAGCATGCCACATTTCATTTTAATTGCCTTTGACTACTTAAAGGGGGGTGGGGGCAACAGCCTTCCATTTCTGTGTTTATGCATCTTGGGAAGCTCTCTGCTGACTGCAGACAATCCTGCAGGCGTCTCCTTCTCTCCTATTTATTCTCACCTGCTCACACACAGTTGGTTCTGCTCCTTGAAGAGCTGGCCTTTTCCCCTTCTCCCTGCATGCTGAAATGTGGGGAGATGGTTACAGGACTTCCAAAAAGCTGTTTTTGAACTGTAGCTGAAAGGCTGAAACTAACCATCATCCTAAAGGGAAATGTCTATACAGGGGACTCCCTCTGCTGCTATTCATCCAGTGAGGTGTTTTTTTTAATGCATTCAGTGCTGGCACATCAGATCACTGTTGTTTGTGCTGTGTCATTTGAAAAGTATTGTGTTGTTGTTGTTGTTGTTGTTGTTGTTGTTGTTGTTGTTGTTATTATTATTATTATTATTATTATTATTATTATTATTAAATACCTCGCCCATCTGGCTGGGCTTCCCCACCCACTCTGGGCAGCTTCCAACAAAATATTAAAATACAGTAATGCATCAGACATGAATCCCTGAAACAGGGCTGCCTTCAGATGTCTTCTAAAAGTCAGGTAGTTATTTATCTCTTTGACATCTGGTGGGAGGGTGTTCCACAGGGCGGGTGCCACTACCGAGAAGGCCCTCTGCCTGGTTCCCTGTAACTTGGCTTCTCACAGTGAGGGAACCGTCAGAAAGCCCTCGGCGCTGGAACTCAGTGTCTGGGCAGAGCAATAGAGGTGGAGACGCTCCTTCAGGTATACTGGACCAAGGTTGTTTAGGGCTTTAAAGGTCAGCACCAACACTTTAAATTGTGCTCGGAACAGTGGCGTAGCGTGGGTTGTCAGCACCCGGGGCAAGGCAAGTAATTTGCGCCCCCTAACCCGTGGATTTGCGCCCCCTAACCCGTGGATTTGCACCCCCTAACCTGTGGATTTGCCCTAACCCCAGATGTTGCGCCCGGTGCGGCCGGCCCCCCCTGCACCCCCCACACTACGCCACTGGCTCGGAAACGTACTGGGAGCCAATGTAGGTCTTTCAAGACTGGTGTTATATGGTCTCGCCAACTGCTCCCAGTCACCAGTCAAGCTGCCGCATTCTGGATTGAAGAAGAAGAAGAGTTTGGATTTGATATCCTGCCTTTCACTCCCTTTAAGGAGTCTCAAAGCGGCTAACATTCTCCTTTCCCTTCCTCCCCCACAACAAACACTCTGTGAGGTGAGTGGGGCTGAGAGACTTCAAAGAAGTGTGACTGGCCCACGGTCGCCCAGCAGCTGCATGTGGAGGAGCGGAGACTCGAACCTGGTTTCCCAGATTATGAGACTACCGCTCTTAACCACTACACCACACTGGCTCTCTTGTTGTAGTTTCTGGGTCACCTTCAAAGGCAGCCCCACATAGAGCACATTGCAGTAGTCAAAGCAGGAGATAACCAGAGCATGCACCACCCTGGTTAAACAGTCCGCGGGCAGGTAGGGTCTCAGCCTGTGTACCAGATGGAACTGGTAAACAGCTGCCCTGGACACAGAATTGACCTGCACTTCCAGGGACAGCTGTGAGTCCAAAATGATTCCCTGGCTGTGCACCTGGTCCTTCAGAGGCACAGTTACCCCATTCAGGACCAGGGAGTCCTCCACACCCGCCTGCATCCTGTCCCCCAAAAACAGTACTTCTGTCTTGTCAGGATTAAACCTCAATCTGTTAGCTGCCATCCATCCTCTAACCACCTCCAAACACCGCCTCCAACCGCCTCCGGATGGACTAGATGTCATGGATGCTTTTAGCTGAGATTCCTTCATTGCAGGAGGTTGGACTAGATGACCCACGGGTACCTTCCAAGTCTACAATTCTGTGATTCTATGCTTCAAAGTCTTTGAACTGATCCAAAAGGGTTCTTCTTATGATGCTATGAAGGGCAATATTGATGGCTGTGTCTGCTCTGTTAGACATTGGTATAAATGCTGCCTTTTGTCTTTTAACAGAAACATCAGAACACAAGCTAAAACAGTATGTCTTAGCAACCCCGATCAGCACCAGAGCAGACGGAAGTTACATCTCCCATAGAGTTTCCGCCAGCCGTTCAAGAAGAGCTGTGAGAGATGTATCGGCAAGCCCCAAGCAACTATATTTCAATGTATCTGCATTTGGAAGGGAGTTCCATCTTAGACTGAGGCCTAACACTCATCTAATAGCTCCCGGGGCGGTGGTGGAGTGGTACGAAGACTCTGTGGAAACAAGAAACGGAACAGACGGTGTTGGCCTGGGTCAGAGTGGGACTGTCACCGAAAGAATATGGAAAAAAGAATCATTATCGACCAACTGTGCTTACATTGGAGATCTTGTGGATATCCCAAGCGCTTCAGTTGCTATTAGCAACTGCGATGGTCTGGTAAGATATGCATTTTCATTACTGATAGTGTCAATATTTGTGGTTGTTTCTGTCACAAACATCATCAGTAACTCATAATAGCTTAAAGGATGCTTCCTTCCCCACAGACCTTTCTCAGGTGCTGAGATCTTGGTAGTTCCCCTACCCTCAGAGACTCAGGGGGTGGCATCCCCTGGGAGAGCCTTCTCTGTGGTGGTCCCTAAGCTGTGGAACTCCCTCCCCACGGAGATGTGCCCAGCGCCTTAAATTTACAGCTTCTGGCAAATTCTGAAGACACACTTCTTTACTTTGGTTGTTAACACTTGTGACGTTTGCTTTTTAGAACCCACCTTATTTCTATGGTTGTTAAATTGTCCTAAATTACTTTTAATATTGCATTTTGATGTTGGACCACAGCTCCCATCATCCCTGACCACTGTTCCTGCAAGCTAGGGATGATGGGAATTGTAGTCCAACAACAGCTGGGGACCCACGTTTGAGAAATACTGCACTGGGATCTTAGGTTGAAGGACGGGCAAGAAATAAATATACAAATTTGGAATATTTTCCAAATGAGATGGGGGAGTGTTTTTCTGTGTTGGAACTCTTTTCATGTTTAGCTGTTTGCATCTGAATACACGAAGCTTCCTTGCTTCAGTCAACATGACAGTTGTTCTTCAGTGTTTTGAGTAAATGTATTTCCTTCTCTCACTACCCAGGATCCTTTTCACTGGTGAGGCTAGAGGTCAAGGGCCCCTCCCCTCTTCTCTGCCCTTCTTCCAAAGCAGGGGTGGTGAACCCAACCCCCCCATCTCCTCAGATGTTTTTGGACTCCAACTCCCATAAGCCACAACCAGCAGCAAGGATGGGATTTGTAGTAGAGGTCCACAGGTTCTCTACCACTGTATCTAAAGAGTTCAGAGTCACTCGCGTATCACTTTTACGTTTGGTCTGCCATGCAAACAAAACTCAAGGGACGACGCCTACTCACCTTCAGCAGTCATGCTTCATTATGGGATAAGACAATTAAATTTGTCTGCACCATTCTGTGTTCTTTGCAGTGCGCCATGGGAGATGGATGTAGCTTTGATTCAAAATCTCAGTTCACGTCAAAATGACAGCTTCCCTCTTGATTGATTTAGTGCTGGAATCTGTCGGGTCTCCTGGAAGAGATTCTGGTGGGGGGGGGACTGGTGTGGTGTAGTGATTAGAGTGTTTGGTTAGGACTGGAGAGATGGAAGTTCAAATCCTGCACAAGCTTTGAGCCAATGACTGTTTTGCAGTGTATCCTACGTCAGAGGCTTATTGTGAGAATGAAATGGAGTGGGAAAATCCTTGAGCTCATTGGGTGTGTGTGTGTAAATAAATAAGCAGGAGACCATGTGAGTGGGTATTTAGAAAACTTGAATGGTTATGGTGGCCCATATCAGGAAAGCAGAGCTGTGCAGGGACTCCTGATATGTGAATTGGGTCAGCTTCACTCAGTGTCACCCAGGGGACTTTCATCTTGCACCGGATCCATCCCTGAAGAAAGGGGGCAGGGCTAAAGGTTTTTTAAACCCTATTTTAACATAGAGTTGAGCCACTGGGTTTCGAAAAGGTTGGGTGGGGTTGCCTTAGCTCCATACTAGAGCTGATTCTCAAGTCCAACAGCTCTTAAGCAGAAGGATCCAATCCTGCACTGTGTGGATCGTAGCTCCTTTGTGAACCAAGGATGTTTAAACTCAATTCGAACGATGCCTGGCTCAGTGCAAATAGTCCATTTCGGCTCAGTATTCGGGCCTCTGGTGAATCCAGCACACAGCCGTCCTGGAAAAGCTGTCACAAAAGACAGATAATGATATTAAAATGTGCAGTTAGTCTGAATGGCTCCATGAGGTTTCATTGCATCCAAATTTGTCAGTCTTGTCCTTGCTAGTACTTCTGAAACAGTATTGCATTTGCATTATTATTGTTGTTCTTCATTTTAAAGTGATAATAATATTTGTCATTGAAGTTGAGTGTCGATGTGTTTTTTTTGCTAACATTTGGTGTTCAGTCTTGGAATGCCCTTTCTCAGTCCTGCGGTACCTAGTGCAAAGCTGAATATCATGCCCAATAAACTGGTGTTTATTTATTTATTTAAAAAACAACCTCGTGAAAATTCATCAGCATTTGAATGCAAATTCTGAAGGACCGCTTTGTTCCAGTGCATGTTTAGTTTCAGAATGAGTGCATTAGTTTCAGAATGAGTGCAATTCCTCCCTAATCCCTAGGGATAAGTTTCAAAAGGACCTGAGAATTAGCTGATGGGGAGTGTAATGGTTCTAGGGGTTGCTCGTGCGTAAATCGTCGCCACACCTGGCTGGGTTGCCTGGGTGAACCCTTTCTGTCTGGACAGCCACTCGCCCGTGGCTGTCTCAATCGCTGGCAGAATCTGTCAGTGGGCGTTTCTTGAACTTCTTCCAGCAAAGAAGCTCTTTGATGCCTAGTCTCCGCCTAGTCTCCCTGCACGGAAGCCTTCTGCGCAGGGAGGGTGTGGGCAGCGGAGGACCCGTGCTCTCTCCGCTGGTCCCCGGCGAGGAGTCGTGGAGCCTCCTCGCCGATTCCCCCATCTGCCCCCCTCCTCCACTGGTACTACGCTGATTTCCTTCCCCAGAAGATGTGCTGCTTCTCTCCCTCCCGGGACGCTCTCCGGAACCCCTCTGGAGCCCTCCCTCTCCCTCAGGCTCCGATGGCAGTTCCGTGACAGGGAGGCAGGTGCTGATACTATCAGGGAACCTGGAGTCCTCCCAGACCTTCAGTTTCAATATTCTCTCTCTCTCGGATTTTGCATTTTTAGAATGGCAACTGTGGACAATGAGCAAAGGAGCTACATAATTCCTTTACTTTTCAGGTCAGCCTTGGTTATAATGGCCACCTGGACTGAATCCTTAGAGGCCACATACGGTACCTTTTCCCCATAGGTGTGCATTGCTGGATAGCAATACCAAGCCATGGCTCGCCTGTGAGATCCCTGACTGTGTGTTGCAACCAGGAAAATGCTTTGCAAGCTCAATTTGCAAAGCTGATTTGTGCAAGTCCCTTCAAAACCAAACACGAACATTGTTGCTGGGGATGTACATGGGTTGCTCTGCTTGAGCAATATCTTGGAACGAGAGATGGACCCTTGGCAGGGTCTAAGCATTTGGGAATCTCGTAATGTAGAAAGTCAGTCCTGTCTTTAAAGCGGACGCAAAACAGAGGGCAGCTGAGGTGAGAGAAAATGAGGGTCAAATGACAAGACAGTGAGAGGAACAATAAAGGCACCAGAAAAACATGCAATTAGTCGAACCATCTGAAATAATGAAACCGCAGATGATCAAAACATGTTAATTCTGCGTGCTTTTTCATCTCTTATAGTTTGGAGCCCAGTCAAGGGCCATTCATGACATTATTGCCCAGTAATGCACAAACTGCAGATTGGGGACATAGCAATTTGTGCGCTGGAAAAGAACTTAAGAAGAGCCTTCCTAGATCAGGCCAAAGACCCCATCCGGTCCAGTGTCCTCTTCCTAGAATGGTCATCCATATGCTTCTGGAAAGCCCACTAGCAAGACCCAGGAGCGACAGCACTCTCACCAGTGTGCCAACTCTTAGGGGCAGAGGGGTCTCTGGCGTCCTCTATGTTGAGGAGCAGAGGAGGCTGAGCGTACTTAGGTTCAATGGTTGGCTCCTCCTGAGCATGAGAGAAGAAGCCACACCACACCAGGCTCTGCGCACGGCCTCCTCTCGATGATGCAACATCCCGCATCGTCTGTATCACATCATGAGAGCATGCCTCGTGCTGCCCCCCAATCTTGGGTGCAAGACAGTACCTCTGACTCTCACCACTTGTAACTCCGAGCAACTGTTATTCAGAGGCATACTGCCCCTGACAGCACAGGCAAAACATGGCCTTTGTGTCTTGTAGCCACTGCCATCTAGGAGAACAGGACTATTTCTAATCCTCTTTAAAAGCCAGCCAAGTTGGGAGCCCTCACTACCTCCTGTGAGAGCAAGCTCCATAGTTTAACTGTTATTTATTGTTGTTTTCAGGGCCATCTTTAGCATATGTGGCGCCGGGGTGCAAAAAATTGCCCAGTGCCCCCAATTGCAGAAAGATCAGGTATTTGTTTCGTTAAAAGCATTTCAAAACCACTTCGCAGTTCGAAAACCTCAAAGCGGAATACACTGTGTATGTTATAAAGGCAATATCCATTAAAACAAACAGAAAACATACCACTTAATCAACAGCATAAAAACCTGTAAAAGCATGGGGAGGCAAGTGAAACAGAGATTCTGGGGTTTTATCCACATAAACAAGGGTCCAATCTTATAGGTCAGGGGAAGGTTGGGCGCCACGATACGTCTTTGCCAGATGACTGGAGCAACTGATAGCTGCTGCTTTAGGTGTGGCAGAGGGAACAGGCAGCAGCAGAAAATGGCCCTTCTCAGGTCACCACTGTATGATATTCTGTAAGGCATCGGGCCCTGAGCAGAATTTCCCTGGATGATCTAAGTCAGCGATTCTCAACCTGTGGGTCCCCAGATGTTGTTGGACTACAACTCCCATCATCCCTAAGCTCTGGCCTTGCTAGCTAGGGGTGATGGGAGTTGTAGTTCAACAACATCTTGGGACCCAAGGTTGAGAAAGGCTGATCTAAGTGATCCTATAGATCTATACAGGGGCAGTTGGTCAGGATATTGTTTCTGCTTGATAGAGAGAGAGGGAGGGAGGGAGAGAGAGAGAGAGAGAGAGAGAGAGAGAGAGAGAGAAAGGCAGTCTCTCATGGGTCCATTTTATTAAAATGAAAAATGCAGAAGACATTCCAACAGTGTCACAGTGATAACAGCTTTCCTGGCATTAAGTTGCTGCTGAATCCCAGATTTGTGTTTGTGTGTGTGTGTTGTGTTCTGCTAGAACTTAGTTATTACCCAAATATATGCAACTGACATTTTAGAAGGAAGGTGGGGGCAAGAATTGCAGAACTGGCTTTAGACGAAGACTCTCCTTCCTATCT